ATATTTGTGTCAATGTTGCTACAGCTAGTAATGTTTACAGTCTTTGGCATAGGAGGTTAAGGCATGCAACGTATGATACAGTTACTAGTGTATGCAAAGCTATTGATGTACAAGTTAATAAAAATGTAAATAAAATTTGTGAAGCATGTTGAATTAGCAAAATCCATAAGTTGCCTTTTTGCCATTCCAAAACTGTTTATACTGAACCTTTTCAACTTGTGTACACTGATATATAGGGACCATCTCATGTAGCTTCAAATGGCTATCACTACTTCTTTTCGTTTGTTGATTCTTACTCAAGACACAGTTGGGTTTATTTTTTGAAAGATCGATCGCATGAAGTAAACACGTTTAAGGTGTTTCAGTATATGGTTGCAACTCAGTTTGGACTAGCTGTGAAGGCTGTGCAAAGTGACTGGGATGGAGAGTATCGCAGTCTATCAGTTGTATTGTTAAGAGAAGGGGTTGTACATCGTGTTGCTTGCCCCCATACATCTGAACAGAATGGTGTGGTCGAAAGGAAGCATCAACACATCATTGAGCTTGCCTTGGTTTTGTTAGCACAAGTTGTCATGCCCTTGCGTTACTGGTATTATGCAGCTGTTACTACAGTATTTCTTATCAATCGACTTCTTACTAGAGTCTTGCATGGGCTGTCACCCTATGAGAAATTGATTGGGAAGAAGCCAGATTATGGTTTTATGAAAGTCTTTGGGTGTAAAGGCTTTCCTCACTTGAATTTCGTTCTCAACCATGTACATTCCTTGGTTACATCCCTCAGCACAAAGGTTACATGTGTTTAGCAACTAGTGGCAGAATATATATTTCCAGACATGTTATTTTTTATGAGTTTACCTTTCTTTTTGCAGGGGCTGAAGGATCGAGTAATACACCTCGAGTTAAAAAACAAATGTTTGCTGAACTTGAAGTTGTTACTGACATAAGGTAATTTCAAGGCAACTTGGCTAGTGTAGGACAAGGAACAACGTCTGATGACATGAATCTAGCTGGCTTGACTGAAGTTGTTCCACAAGAAACGGTTAGTGCAGGTGAAGCTAGTATGGATGAGAACTCTGGCCATATGAGTCAAGATATGGTTTACATAGGTGAAACTTCCTTAGAAGTTGCTGCTCAACAAGGTGTTGATGAAGAAGGTGGTGTAATTGGTGTAACTGAAGCTGTTGAGTCAGCAAACCAAAGGCAGACTGTGGCAGTGACTGGTTCATTTGACAAAGTTTTCTCTTTAAGAGAGGGCAATGATTCCAGTTTGTTGAACCATTATTCGATGCTGACAAGGAGTAAATGTGGGATATTTAAGGTTAAAGTGTATGTGGCAGCTATAATGACATGGAACCCCTTAATGTTCATGAAGCAATTTAGTCACCTCATTGGAGAGCAGCAGTGCATGCTGAGGTTGAAGCTCTAAGGAAGAATGGTAGGTGGACCCTAGTGAAACTAACTGAAACACGATCAATGGTGGGTGTAAATGGTTGTTCAATTTGAAAAAGAACCCTGATGGCTCTATTAGCAGGTATAAAGCTAGATTAGTAACTAAAGTTTTTTATCAAATGCTAGGACATGATTTTGGTGAAACATTCAGTCCAGTTGTCAAGTTTGCAATGTTGAATGTAGTTCTTTCACTAGCTATTACAAATGGCTGGCATTTAAGCCAGGTGGACTTGAACAATGCGTTTATGCATGGTGATATGCATGAAGAGGTGTTCATGCAGCAGCCACCTGGTTTCAATCAAGTAACTGCAGATGGTAGTCCCTTGGTGTGTAGATTAGAAAAGGCGTTGTATGGGTTACGCCAAGCCCCTCGAAACTGGCATGACAAATTAAAGAATTGCCTAGTTAAGATCAGGTTTAAAGAGTCGTCAACAGATACTTCTCTGTTTGTCCGCTGGGAAGATGGTCAATGTATCTACATACTCATGTATGTTGATGATATAGTGTTGACTGGAGGTTCAAATGAACAGATTGAAGAAGTAGTGAAATTACTTGGGAGAGAGTTTGCCTTGAAGGATCTTGGTGATCTACATTACTTTTTGGGCATAGAAGTTAAGCGTTGTGGCAGCTCGTTAATTCTTAGTCAAAGGAACTAGAATTATTAATGAAGACAAAAATGAGCACTACAAATCCTGCATCTACACCAATGCTTGTGTCTGCTAAATTGAGTCAAGATGCAGAGGAGTTGCTTCAAGATGCTTATGAATATCGAAGAATTGTAGTTGCATTATTGTATGCTTGTCACACTCGCCCAGGCGTAACATTCAGTGTGAACAAGGCAACACAGTACATGCATGCTCCAAGACAAGAACATATTGTTGTTGTTAAGAGGATTTTGAGGTATTTAGTGGGAACTATTAATCATGGCTTGGTCGTTGCACCTGAAGTAGCAGGATTCAATGTAGTAGCTTTTGTTGATGTTGATTGGGCTATAAGCACTGATGATCACAAATCTGTCTCGAGCTATTGTGTGTTTGTAGGTGATAATCTTGTAATGTGGAACTCGAAGAAACAAAAGTCAGTTTCCATATCGACAAGGAAGTTGAGTATAGAAGTGTAGTAGATGTTACTGCTGAAACAACATGGGTGGATGCTCTCCTAAATGGCGTTGCAAGGCAGAAAATCCCAATATTGTGGTGTGATAACAGTAGTGTTGTAGCCATGACAGCTAATCCTGTCTATCATGCAAAGAGTAAACATGTTGAACTTGATGTTCACTTTGTTCGTGAGAATGTGGCGTTGAAGCAGGTGTTGGTGAACTATGTGCCAGGAAGTCATCAGATTACTGATGGATTCACAAAGCCATTACCTGCTTCTCGGTTTGAAATGTTTAAAGCCAGGGTGAATGTGCATTCTTTTTTGTGGGAGAAAGAATAAGTAGGAAGAATGTTGAATGATGAAGCTGTTATTAAATGATGAAGCTATGTGTACGGTTAGTGTATAGTTAGGAAGTTGTTAGGAATGGTTGTTAGTTGTTAGGTGATAAGCAGATATAGAAGTTGGTTGTAAACTCTTGTATATGAAGAGTGTTATAGTTCAATGAATAACATGCATTATGGGTTGATGATTTGCTGGTATAGTTACTTCCTCATATTTTCATACTTTAAATTTTATAAATTCGTCCCCTAATATGAAATCCTACATTCGTTCCAGCTTAAGGTAAAGTGTGACTGGCCATTCGTGAAATTATTCTATACAACAATATTATTTCTATTTTGATTTTTAATTCGACCTGAATATCAATTTAATTGAGAAATTTATATAATATTATTATAATAAAAAGCCTTAAAACATATATACTATATTTATAAAAGTTATAAATTCAAGTACAAATATATATATTAAAAATGACAAAAGCAATAACAACTAATCAAAAATTAGTTTGGTTAAAAAAAACTAATCAAAATTTGGTTAGAAGTCCATTTTATTTTAAAGATGGGATGTAAGAAAAATGGATTAGACGCTGGACACCTGAGCACGGTATATCCCCAATCCCAATCAAAGAACAGACAGGAATAGAAAACGATGCAGACATCCGACCGTCCATCATCGTAGCGTAGCATAATAGATTAGGGCGTAGCGTAGAGAAAGATGCAGCCTAACTACCGAAATATAAGCGTTTTTCTCATGCTTCCCCGACCCTTAATTTCGTTATCAGAAAAACGAATAGATATTTCGATTCAATTTCCAAACAAAAAAACAATTGTACTATTTTTTGCTTCTTAGGGAGACGGTGAAATAGAGAACCTCTGGATTCCTTCTCTTCCCGTCCTTGGCGGCGGTGCTTATTCCTCTTGTTTTCAGGTATATCTCTCAATCCTTATCTTTAAAAAAATTCACCTGGATCTGATTTATATTGGATATTTTTTTTTATTTCTTTTGCTGCCACTTCTTAATTAGGAACTCGTTTATCTTCATTTTGTTGATTTAGTCTATTAGGGTTTGCATCTTTGATGTACTGGAATATTACTTTGGACTTGTTGTCGACCTTTTTTCCTCAATTGATTGTTGATTTTTTTTCGTTTCGTGATGCTCCTTTCACGGAGTTTCCGGTGTATGGTTGTTTGTAATCGGGGAAAGGATTGTTATATAGAACTAGGGATTGATTTTGTCGTGATCTGATATGTCGGCTGAAGTTGAGAATGTTTGATCTGCATATTACTTGAATTTTCCACTTTTTGTACATAATTGCATGTGATACTATTGAACCACTGCGTCTTATTTTATAGAACTGCTATTCGCTTTTAGATTAGTCACCAATTATATCATGATCTTGTACTATTTTCCTATTCCTAATAAGTTTTTGTATCCTATTAGATTATCTGCTCCTCTTAGATATCTCGACTCTAATTTCAATTGATTTTTTTTAATGTTAGATTGCACCGGACCTGGATTTAAAAGGATATAGTTTCCTTTTGAAGACATGGAACAAGTGTGGTTCTGGTCAAATTGCCACCTTTTCCGGATTTTTTTATTCCAAGAAGTAATTGATTGGCGGTTTATTGTCCATGGAGATTTTCTCTTGGTTTCCTTCGTCAATTGCACTTAGTGCCGATTCTCTCTTTTTAATATCCAACACTGGAAGTGTAATGCATGTTATTTCAGAGATAGGTGCTAGATCTTTAGCACACTTCTGCGAGTAAGCAATTTTCTCCTCCTCTATTTGACTAAAATTAGACAGTAAGGTGCTAAATATTATTCTTGGCAGTGCTTTGTAGATACAAACTTTGGCCAAATATTTTACTAAAACACCTTCCAGGTAATATATATATTTACATGATTATCTTTCCCATACCTATTAACTATTTATTCATTTTTGTAAACTTCATCTTATTTTTCTATTTCCTCCTCAATCATCACAGGGCTGAACTCTCACAGTAGATATGTGATTACTAAGCTTTAGAGTACTTGGTTAATTTTCTATTGTTGCTCCTAAGCCCTGATGGCTACTGATTACTGATGAGATCTTGCAGGTACTGCAACTGCGTGTTCTTAGTATTTGTGAGTTAATTGCGATTAAGCTTCTGAACCGAGTGGATGTATATTGAGCTTGGTATCCTTTATGTTATCTGAAGCAATCATTCTGGTTGGTTCGTATAAGTATGTTTTGTGGAGCTCATCTGTATCTTCCTTTGATGTGTTGTTTTGTTCTTGAAGCTGTGGGTTTCGTACCAAATAATGCTGTGAGGGCCTTCCGCCATCAAGCTTCTGGTGGATTTAGCTGACCGGCCGGACAATTTTTCCTTTTAATGTCTTATAGTTTTCATTTAATAAAAGCAATCTTCTAGTGAAGATAGATTTCACATGTCCATCGTTGGTTCTTATACGTCTCTTAAATAAAGGAACGACTACTTCTTAATCTGCTATAAAATGGAAAGGTAAGTTGCTTACTCTGTTATAGTACTTCACAATGTTCATTCTATGCATGATCAGTTTTTTCTTATCAATGTTTCAATGATATTAGGTACAAGTTAATTAAGGAAATTGGTGATGGAACATTTGGAACTGTGTGGAGAGCTATTAATAAACACTCTGGTGAAGTTGTGAGTATTCCTGGGATATATTTGTTTTGATTTACAAACATGTTTCTTTTCATATGTTGATGTTGGTATATCCTTTTTGACATAATTATTTTCTGTGTTGAAGGTTGCAATTAAGAAAATGAAGAAGAAATATTACTCATGGGAAGAGTGTGTGAATCTGAGAGAAGTAAAGGTAATATGATTTGCTTTTTTCTCTCTCTGGTTTTTCCCCTAGTTTTGCCCCCTTATGCATGATTACCTGTTTCCCTTGACAGTCACTGCAGAAAATGAATCATCCCAATATTGTGAAGCTTAAGGAGGTCATCAGAGAAAATGACATTCTATACTTTGTGTTTGAATATATGGTTAGTAAGCTATGTGCGTTCTAACATAACGTGTTTTTAATCATTTGGGGTTAAGTTATTTAACTGTTAGCATGAAATTGCTACAGGAATGCAACCTATACCAACTTATGAAAGGCAGGGAAAAGCTTTTTTCAGAAGTTGAAATCAGAAATTGGTGTTTCCAAGTGTTTCAAGGTCTTGCATACATGCACCAGCGGGGATATTTTCATCGCGACCTAAAGCCTGGTATTGTGTTTATTTATTTATTTTTTCTATAGAATTTATATTTTTGTTACATTTACTAAAAAGGAATATCCTGTCACTAACTGCCTTTTTATATCCAGAGAATTTGTTGGTTACTAAAGATATAATCAAAATAGCTGATTTTGGTCTTGCACGAGAAATAAGTTCACATCCACCTTACACAGAGTATGTCTCAACACGCTGGTAGGTTTGATATTTGAGAATTAGTGTTTGTTTGACCCTTTTTTCCCTATATTCATTCCAACTCTAAGCTAGGCTTTCTTCCTTTTTAGGTATCGTGCCCCTGAAGTACTTCTTCAATCATTCCTTTACACTTCAAAAGTTGGTGTGTTTTCCGTGTAATTAATAGTGAATCACTTAAGATAAAAATGATGATAAACCTTTTTAATTACGGTTTTTCTCCCTGATCATAGATATGTGGGCTATGGGTGCAATCATGGCTGAGTTGTTCACCTTACGTCCTCTTTTTCCTGGCACAAGGTATGTTCTTTTTCCTTTATCATTATTCTGTGTTGATTGTACTTCTTGAGATCATGGGATTTTGTAGGCATTAGATGATATTATGTGTATTTTTCTAATTAGTAACGAGAGCGGGTACTTGCCTGGTGATTCACGGAATTGATGCCAACCCGTATTATTATGTGTGCAGTGAAGCAGATGAAATTTACAAAATTTGTAGTGTGGTAGGCACTCCAACTGAAGATTCATGGCCGGATGGGCTTAATCTTGCAAGAACTATAAATTATCAGTTCCCAGAGGTATTTATTCTCAGTAGTTTTCTTCATATGGATTTTCTTTCCAGCATATGGAATCTAATACTTTTTGTCCCGTCTGTTATTGAACTTCGAAGTTCACTGGTGTGCATCTTTCTGCACTGATTCCTTCTGCAAGTGATGATGCAATAAACCTTATTACAGTTGAGTGCATCTCTACTAACTCTGTTACCTTTTATTCCTTTCTACCCTTACTCTGCCGCAGGAAGGGCTTTCTGTTATGTCACTATTAAATTATTTTGGATTGTTTGAAGACAAATTGACATTTTCTTTGCTGTTTGTCTCTAGTCTCTCTGTACATTGGATCCTTGCAGAAGGCCTACTGCTGCTGAGGCGCTTCAACATCCCTTCTTTAAGGTATAGTATTTTAAAAAAATTAATGTTCTTTGTTTTATGAAGTCAAATGAAATATATATGTTGTAGCTAGTGCTCTGCTCATTGAATTTTCTTATGATGTGCAGAGTTGCCTTTATGTTCCACCCTCTCTGCGTCCTAAAGCAGCTGTTTCTAGAACTCCTCCATCTGGTTTGATCTAATACACTGCAATTTTTGTCCTTTATTTGGCTATTATATGTCTAATCTCTGTTTTGAATGCTTGTAGTTGGGGTGAGACAAAAATTGGAACAGCAATCAGCTAAAATGTATTCTGGTGTTCTACGCAATGCAGGGCCCACGGGCAATCTTTCTTGTCTAAAGTCAAGTGCTTCTATGGGTGCAACAACAGGTGGTGGATTGTATATTATCTACTAAAATATAAATATTTTACTAATGATATTTGATATCGAGTGCATGATCAAGTTTTTTTCCTTGTCCATTAACTCTTAAGTGCTGTTTACTTCCTTGAAGATCTTATATGGTGGGTTTCTAATTATCATAATTCTAGCAGGTGTGCAACGCAAGCTGGAGATGGTTAATCAGGTAATTGTTACTTATCATGTAATGTATCTTAGTGGTTCTGCTTCTCGAGTGGTATTTTCTGTACATTGCTTCTAAAAAGTCTTTTTCTTTTCTATACCTAAATCATCTGAATATCAATGACTGAATGATCAGAAATCCTTGAAGAACACTGAGAAGCAACCAAGGTATCGGCCACCAGGAAGAAAGAGTCCGAGTGAGTCTTTGGTATTTTTAAGTTTGACTTTTGTTTTTAGTATAGATTCAAGCATATCATGATCACTCGTATGGAAAATATGCAAAATTAAGCGTACATAATTTATAATATAAATCAAATGTAAAGTGGCAGTAGCTGTAATTAGAAATGGTTAAATTTCCTGTCTGCTTACTGAACTTTGTTATTAGAATACGAGTGTAGTTTTGTTTGATATTGGAATTTGAAAAATATATTGGGTACAGCAGCCTCAATCAACAAGCATAGAAATGCTGGAGGAGCTTTGGACGTAGCGGAGAAGTTGGCACAAGTTACAATTGGAAATCAGAGGCAGAATATTGGGCAATTAAGGCCAGCAGCAGCAAAGAAGGGTGGGGTTCAGTGGAATGTGGAATCTAAAAATGACATGTTTCTTAGACCGACCCGACAGATACAATCTGGCAGAAGTTTTTCCAGAAAAGTAGGGGGATGAGGAGATGGGTGGCCCATAGTCATGGTTTTATGATAATTACTTACTGCACTTATTGGTATTATAATATATAAGAAAACGAGGAGTCCAAACAATTTTCTTTTTTGAAAACTGAGTTTTGTGTTTCAGTTATGTACTAGAGGATGGTTTGTTTGTTTGTTTGTTTGTTACACATTGACGGTTGCTTGATGATTATAATAAAGTGGGAGTTCAAAAACCATCGAGTGGAGTTTTAACGTGATTTTGAATTGGTTGCATTATGCGTATAGCCGGCTTTTAGAGTATTTGTTTAGCTGAATTGGTTTATTACAATAATATGATGGATTTGTTTCGTTGTATTGAGTGGTTGATCGAAGACCGAAAAGAATAAACCATTGTGGCCACTGGCCTAGGGATTCTATTTTTGAACACAAAATTACATTCCCCCATTTCTTGCTGAGGTGACTTGGAATTTTGATTTTTTTTTTTTTTGCCCTTTCAGTTCTCTCGAGTTTTGTTCTAACTAATTTGGATCAATATGTGTTGTACACTTAATTTTAGTGGAGGGGCTTCTTATTAAAAAAAATTTGTTAATACAAAATTTTGAACTCAAAATCTATTAAAGGGATATTAAGTTGTTTACCATTTAAATCAATCTCTTCGGTGAAATTTTGCACATTAACCCTCTCCCAAATGCAGTCCAAAAGTAATTTCCAGTCCTTTATCTTGTTCAATTAATGGACCCTACAACAACAGACTTATTTTCATTTTCGAATCAATATCGATATATAATTTTTAAGTATAATAATTACAAAATTATTATAATTCAATCGGGCGTTATTAAATTAAAAATCCCCATAAATTATTTTTTTAACAATAACCCGTTAGCATATTTGTTAAAAAATAACCCTTTTGTACACACTTAGGACTAACTCGCGACCTACCCAATGCGTGAATGTGTCTTGCATTTCATAGGACGCGAGATACCATGCACTTTTCAGATCACCTAATTTAATATGGTTATTTAATACCTCGCGTTTCCCAGAATGTGAGGTACACTAGTATTGAACCGTCCCGGAAAATTTATCGCGAAAAGTATTCAATGTACCCCGCGTCTTCCAAGAAGCGAGGCATGTTTTCCCAGCAAACCACAAGTGCTTATAGGCATGTTGGGGGAAGATTGACTATTTAATCTAGAAATTTTTTTAATTTATAAGACTCTTCGCGTAGTATTGGGATTTATCTTTCAGTTGAGGCTAATATAAAGACATATGAGATATCACAAGCGGGTTAAAAATTAGGTTGAAAATGGTTCCAAAGCTTGTTTTGTGCATAAGGAAATGCTAAAATGGTTTGGTAAACATATTCAAAGGTTTTTTTCTGGTAGTTAATCTAACTAATTGAATAATTTATAGGAGTACAGGTGTGGTAATATAACTTATTTTTCGATTGAGAATAATATCGACGCATACGAGACATTGTATTCGGGGTAAAATTCGCGTTAAAAATGGTTCTAAAGCTTGTTTTTTTCAAATGAAGAAGATGCTAACAAACTAATCTGGATTTGGGCATGATCGATTAGGACATTTGTTCTTCGAGTGCCCAGGATTCCTATAAATACTACAAAGCTTCGGTTGTCTGGTTCTTTCTCCATGGTCGACCTAATCTTCGTCGCAGTAAATCCTCGTTGAGCGTGGATGGCCCCTTTATTGGTGTTGTAATGCAAAATATGGACGTAATCGTCAACCGCATCCGGATCCCTTTCATTTCCAATCGGAGGAAACTCGTACAGATACACATTGAATATGGTTTCCAGTAAGTATACGCAATCAACGAATTGCACGTAGTCAATCCTTATAGAAGAACAAGTGAAAATGACATGCGGACACGGATATTTGAATGTTTAGAATACTCCGCAGTCGTATGTTTTGTCACGTAGATTAATGACGTATGCGTTTTGTTGTATGCCTTCCAATGACATGGAATATTTTGAAACACATAATTGATTTTGTTCGCAAGAGACGTATGTCGCACTCATCACGTTTGAGTGTTGTAAAAAGATTTGCAATTTTCGTTGGAGGTTTGAGTTGATTTTGTGACCACCTACAATCCACTCAGTTGCTTGCCTTTCCAAGGTTGCACCTATATTTTGATATAACAAATAAGGGCAAAATATTTTTGGACTTAATTGAATTTGTTCAAATGATTTAAAAAATAATTCAATGCCCACAAAACTTGAGAAATATTTTCAAAGTATATTTGACTTGATCTACACCTTAAAGTATGTTTAGGACTCAAAATATGTCAAAATATTAAATTTTTGGAATAATATTTCGAAACCTTTGAGACAAAATGTTCAATTGGTCAAAATTTCCTTCTGGTTTTGAAACCCCCTGACTGGTTGTTAAACCCCTGGTTTCAAAACTCCTTGATTGGTTTCTAAACCCATGTTCCAACGGTAACATTTTTTCAAGAGCGTTTCGAAACCACAATGCAGAAAAGCTAAAATTGAGGGGATTAAAGGCTTCCAATGGCTCTAAAACATCCCCAACGGTTAGAAACGGCCACAAGTTCACTCTATCGTATAAAAATAACCCAAAGACACTGGAAGAAGGCTACTACACCTATCCAAGCTTAGAGATCAAGAGAAAAAAGTATTCATTCTTATTTCCTTCATTTTTCTCTTGTACATAAGTATATAGAGCTTAATTGAATATATTTTGTATCCATTCTTATGAGATTAATCCTTGTAAACACCTACCTAGAGAGGTCTTCTTGTTTACATAAGTTAATCTTTGTTGAAAAGAGGAGTGGTTCAAGTTGAGCCTAGAAAAAGAAATAACAAATTAGTGAATTTGTTAGAAAATCCTTAATGACGTAGACTTGATTGAGAAGTCGAACCACTATAAATCGTTGTGTCAATTTTTCTATCTTCATTGCTTCCACACCAAAAAAATTTAAAGGTCAATTCACTCTTCTCTTAGTGGTTTTCGGGTAATCATTTTGAGCCTAACAAAGACTTGAGTCAAGTTCAAACTTAAGTAGATTCTATTATATTCGAGTGTCGTTCAAACTTTGTTAGAGTCAAATTCAAATAGCATGTAATTTGTCTCGTCTCATTTACAACTCTGATAGGTGGCATGTGTGACCTATTAGGATGCAAGGCATATGGGACTCATGGTGAAAGGGGATCCGGATAAAGGCTCAAGTATGGATTCTAATAATGGTAATTCCTTTATGTTGGCTCTTTGGAGGGCTATTGAGTGGCATGAAGGATGATAGTTTTTATCCAAGATTATGTGGTTTAGGTTATATTTTGAGAATTTTTATTTAGGAGGTGTCTCCTTTGAGTTAAGGTATTACTTAGGTGTATTCCTTTGTAATTTCTCCTTTGAGTGAATGTGTTATTATTTAGGTGTATTCCTTTGTAATATCTCCGGAGATTTTTTTTTAAATAAAAGGGTAAATTATGCTTTTAATATCTAAATTATCAGTTTTGGTTCGTTTTAGTATCTAAACTTTTAATTTTTTCAAAACCATACCTAAAGTTTAGTTTTTGTTTCATTTTAGTATCCCATTCAAAATTTAACGATAAGTTTTGAAAAATTGAAAGTTTAGGTACTAAACGGACCAAAACTGATAGTTTAGGAACCAAACGTGTTAAGTTTTTAACGGTGGGGTATAAAATTGAAATGAAAACTAAACGTTAGGTATAGTTTTGAAAAAATTGATAGTAAAACATACCAAAATTGATAGTTTAGGTATTAAATGTGTGGTTTACCCAATGTAAAATTGCAAAATTAAGTAAAGAAGAGAAATTCATCTTCCCATGAGCCCAACAGGCCAGGCCGGTTGCTTGCCTGGCCGGGAGACAAATAAGCAATGCAGCATATTGGAAACTAGCTCTGAGGCTTGCAGCTGAAGCTCATCATCCTTGAGAGCCTCGTGACTTGAAGGACCACTGAGCTACGCATGTTACAGTCAAATATAGGATAAACTGCTGTAGTTTCGCATATATATTACTTCGATTGTATATTATCTCCCTCTCTGCACTACTTGTTTGCTTCATCTGTCATGGGTGGTGGTGAATCAATAAATACATAGGTGGCAAAATCATTATCTTATTAAAAAGTGTCGCAACAGATTCAAGGAGAACCTCACATTATGGTTATGCCTCCATACCCATTTCTCTTATTCCATAAAAATAGAAAGGAAATCATAAGCATCATTAAAGGCTACAAACAACATGGGAATGTCAGGCTTGTGTGAACTTCTTAACGTGAAGTTGATTTCGGATTCATTTTTCTAAATTACAACAGAAGAAAATAAATACGTAGGAGCATATTCGTTCTTTGGAGAGCAAAAGCCTAACACTCAAAATGAAACGTTAAATAGGAAGTGGAAATTGGGGAAAGCTGAAAAGAGTGAAGCCAAAGCCAAAAGGACACTCAGGCTTTTGTTGCTTCTAGTGGAGCTGCGGTTTTGGTAGAGGTAATTTGCTCGTAGAGGTCTCTTATCTTCAACCCAACAATGGTTTGGAAGAGGCCGGTTCCGTTGTTACTTCCAGGGAAATCAGCATGCTTCAGCATTTGCTGTGTGACCTCTCCATAGAACTTTGTAGACAGGTTGCTCAAATGGCTTTCTACGTATATCAGTTCATCTAATCTGTCGAATTGCCCGTCCATCTCCAGAACAGATACCTGAAGAGACAAAAACATATGTAGTGGCATCAAACACAACCTGACAGTTCATTTTTGGTGTTGACGGAGAAGGAAGAATACCTCGTTGCCGAAGTAAGAATCGGGTCCATAAGAGAATTTGATGCCAGGGTAAGAGCAGGTGAGCTTCCTTCCGCAGGGTATCCATGAAATGGTTGAGCCTTCATCAAACAAGTAAACTGGACTGAAATTCTTTACCCCCTCTTTCATTATCAACCTAACTCTCAAAACCTTCCCCTCGTTGTCATCTGGAATCAGCTGAGTCGGCAGCACTTCAATCACTGCATCGGCATATTGCTTTTGAGGATCTGCAGTCCAACCACCAAACACATGATTATTAAACTTGTAGCTACCATTGCTGGATTTATTTATGCAAATGGGATGTGCGCGGTCCCTTGTAAATAGAATTGGATATGGATGTGGTGGGAATTACCGATATAGGCATCGAAATCGGGTTTCCTGGCTTCGATACTGGCTTTAATGCTTTCAAGGCTGTGTCCTCTCTCAGCCATG